TCAAAAAAGTACTCCAGAGTGTTGTTCAGCATGGGGGTGAGTAGAAAATGAAGGCTAATCATGTTTTGGGTGTACTATTCCTTTAATGCATCTTATACCTGTTACAGGCGTAACACCGGGGCTGTTCAGAAAACACCCGGTGACAGAACACCCCACAGGTCTAATTGTTTATGAATTAGAAGTGGAAACAAATAATCAAACCAACAACGTCGTCTCGTTACCTTAAAGTTAAACACAGGAGTATTTACAGAATTACACAAAGGTTGCCATTATTTATAAATCCTCTCCCACACACCCCAGTTTTAAGACACCAGTTTTAACACACACCAATCATCTCATTATCATGAGAAATCGGCTTTTGTTATCTTTAGATAATGAGAAAATTAACTTGTTTTCTCAAGAACACCACCGAGAAAATTATCAGAGGGACACGACCACTCTCTGGCTTCCATAAAAATGTGACATTCATGTTCAATATCCTTCTCTCTCTCTGTGCAATAACACATGCCAACTACCTTGTCGTCTGTTTAATTTTCACTTATTTATATGGTCAGCACATTTCTGCAGTGCAAGTGCAATAAACCCATGTCAACTATTATGCAGTCTTTCCTTAGCTCTCTACTGGGCAAATACTTTTATATCTAAGGGAAACATATTCCAGGACATAACAACTTTTTTGTTTTTTTATGCTTTTTTTGTACCATATGCACTCTTTTTATATTGTCTGTAGTATTTTTATCTTTAATGACATCTTGCTTTAACTCTTTGTGCTCTATATAAGCTACTGGAACCAGAATTTCCCTGAAGGAGTAATCCCAAGGGATAAATAAAGTTGAGTCTAAGTCTAAATCACACGATGCAATATTATTGAAAACTAGACTTATTTCTTTAATTTAAACAGTGTGTAAATGAAAGTTTTCCATTTTGTTTTATATACATTATATATGTCCTAAATGTATTGTTCTAAACATATGAAAAACGTGTGTTCAGTGGATGTGAATTATGATGTGATGTGAATCTTGGAATGTATTTTACACTTTCCCACATGTGTTACAGACAACACCCGTCGTAAATGTAACAGCTCTTTTGCAGCACATTCCACAGAACATGCCCCCAGCATTTCAAAACAGAAAAATCTGGGGTTTCTTTCCTTGCGAGACTTAATTTTACAATTGAATTGGTATCGCAAAAGACTGAAGTGCTTATGGCTTAAATAAGAATAAAAATAAAAATAAAGTCATTCAAGTGATGAAAGACCAATTTATATACACTGTCCTTAACATTATAAGTGATAGTACAATAGTTTAGCGAGGGGTTAGATCCTATAACCCAGAGCATAAATAACGACCGGAAAAGCAAGAACATATAGGCTGCAGTAGTTACTTCTACAGAAGACTTTTGCTGTTAGACTTTAAGGTGTGGTTTGTTTTATTATTTCTGAGGAAAGGGGGCCAGGTAAACTAGGCTTATCAAGATGCTGAAATGTCAGTAGTCATGTCATCACCAGTTCTTGTTAAAGATTAGAAAGATCATGGGAAAATTACAGTTACAGCTTCCAGAGAAAATAAGCCCAAATAGCAGGTGTGTCAAGTTCAGTCTTTAGTAAGAAACCTCATCTGGAAAACATGAATCACAACTATACATTTTTTCCAGGAGTGGATGTTCCAACAATGTACTCTAATTACTGTAGTTGATCATTAACAGAAAAACTGAAAATGCTAAATAGGATTGTCGATAAACAAACAAACCCTAACCCTAACCCTAACCCTAACTAATACTAGGAGAAGTCTGTTATAGTTTCTACAGTTTAGAATTATTAATTAATTAA